GTAGCAGGTTAGTTTAGGAGGCACAGGCAGGCCATGTAGCACACAGTTCTGTTGTCAAATGTCTTGCCACTCCAAGTATCTGTCCCCTGATGCTATTTCCTCACTCTGCCTAATAGAACCCAAAATCTACTGGGGCTGGTCAGTTGCTAGAGTAATCCTGCTACTCATACCTTCTCCATCTGAATGAGTGAGCTCACAGAGATTGCAAATCAAAGGGCCATTGATACAAGCATGACCTGCTTCAATCAAAAGGTGAGAGAAACAATTATCCAGATAGTTAAGTCAGAGAGCAGCATGATTGTAATTTGTTAGCTTGTGTTTGGTGTCTCTTGAAACATTGTAACATGTTCTCAGGTGTCTTTGTGCCGGGAAGACTCCACTATAAAACCAGATTGTGTAATGCAGTAAATCTTGAAACAAGATCCCTGCAAACCACCATCTGGGGGTCTTCCTGGACACACAACTCCTGCTCAATAACCAGGTGGCAGCTATGGACAGGAAGGCCTTTGCATAGCTTCATCTAATGTGCTAGTTGCACCCTCTCCTAAACTGGGAGGCTGTCCAGGCAGTCACTAATGACCTGGTCACCTTGTGGCTTGAGTACTGTAATGCCTCTACATAGAGCTGCCCTTGAAGACTACCTGGAAGCTTCAACTGATCCAGAATGCAGCGATGTGGGCAATGATGGCATAACTCAGTATGCCCATGTAACACCTCTCCTCTGCAAGCTGCACTGGTTGTCAATTTGCTTCTGGGTGCAATTCAAGGTACTGGTCATTACCTATAAAGCCCTACATGGCACTGGACCTGGTTACCTGAGGGACCTCCTGTCTCCTATATTATCTGCCTGGTCAGTTTGATTCAGTAGCACTTCATATTCCTTCAATTAAACAATTCTTTCTATTAGGATCCCGGAAGTGCACCTTCTCTGCCGTAGTGCCTGCCCTTGGAAATAAGGTTCCCCCTGAGATCCAGATGACCCCCACCCTCCTTGAAGACCTCTGAATTCATATATTTTGAGTTAAATGTTCAAAGAGATATTGAAGTTAGTTAACTTTTTGCCTAGGCCTTTGGTGAGGGTGATTGAAGCCCCCTCTGAATAATATGGGCTTGCTTTGGCTGTTGTCCAGTTTGTGCCATCATTTGTTCTTTGTTTTTTATCATTGTATTATTGTTTTGTTCTATGTGTTTTTACCCAGAGTTGTTGGGAGTCAGATAGTGTAAAAATGTAATAAAGCCAAGGGCAACCTATGCAGGCAAAGAGATTAAGGATATGATTTTTAGACCATGTGAAGATTTTTACTGTGCTCCTGCTGCACTTAAAAGTATAGGCTTAAATAGCTATCAAGCCAGATGTTAAGAGAATATAATACTATAGCTCGGAATTGACTTTGATTAAATGCCTTTACTGTATATATTTTATCCCTGACATTTGTGGGCTTTCAGAAATAGAGGAAAAGGAAACAATAACAGGGTCCAGACAGTACTAGAAATATGTAACTATCTTCTATCATCAAATACATTTGCAGGACTGGACATAAAGTCAGATTTGGAACCAAAGCCAGAATAGGAGAATTCAACTAAGGAAAATTAGCCACCTCCATCTGGTTTCATCATAGCC